GAGAGGCCGGGGGAGCCCGGCGGCGGCCGCCTGCCGACAGATCCTGGAGAGCGGATCGCGGTGGGGCGCGCCCCGCCCGCCGCTCCGCGCAGCACCGCGCACGGCCGCGCAGCGCCGACGGGGCGGCCGCCGGAGCGCGGCCCGGCGGAGAGCTGCGGCCGGCGGCGAGGCCCCGAGCGGCGACCTCCAGCGCGGGTGAGTCGCTCCCAGCCGTCGCCCCCCACCCTGCCCGGCGGCCGCCCCGACCGGGAGCCGGGGGGGTTCCGCCCGCCGCTCCGCGCCCGCGGCGGAGGCGCGGATGCCCGGACCCCGCCGTCGAGGCGCGTCGGGTTCGCGGCCGGGGGCCAGCGCGGCGGTGCCCGGCCGGAGGGGCTGTTTACCCGGGCGGGGGGAGGCAGATAAGGAGGAGGGGGGACACTCCGGGGCTGTTTGCTGAGGGATTAGGGCCGGTCTCGCCGCGCCGGGGCCCGGGGGGGCGGCGGGCGCGGTGGGTGTCCCCTCGGAGAGGCCGGTTTGGAGATCTGCGCTGATTAACTGAGGGCCGCGGTGGCTGAAGAGGGCCCTGGCGCCAGGCGGCTGAGCCCTCACAATAAAGACCCGTCTCTTGTCACTTCATATTTACCCCCAAATCTTCAAAAAGCGCCCTGCCATCCTTCCAAGGCTCCTGCCCCGCCGCCTGCGCTGCGACCAGGCGGGACGGGGGGGGTGGCGGCCGGCCCACTCCTCTGCCCCCCGGCCTGTCCTCCCCCGCCCCCGGACCCTCCCGCTCCGCGGATGCGCAGCGAGGCGCGGCCGCAGCAGCTCGGAGCCCTCGTGGTCCTGTGTCGCTGCTCCCCGCGCAGGGTGGGATGCGGAGACCCCCGGGTGTCCCCTTCCCATCCCGACCTCTCCTCTATTCCTCCGCCCCGGTCCATCCCGCTGGTCGCGACCCCCGCCCGCAGCCCCCGGGGGAGCCCATCCCCATCCCCGGGCTCTTCTCGGGGCCGATCTCCACCTGCCCCGCGTCCCGCGGCAGGTTCACCTCTGCCCGCACCGCGTCCGACGGGGGGTGCCCCGCTGACCATTGAACGGGCAACGGGGACTGAAATTTAAACCCAATTTGGACTTTGCTTCCTCGCCGCCGTGGAAAACTGCTGACGGCAGCTTTGGCAAAAGTGGGGCTTGCTTGTATTTTTTTTTTTTTTTTCCAATTTCCCCCCCCCCTCACAAAGAAAAAGTGGAGCCTTTCATTGCCTCGGGGCGAATCTCCCCACATCAGGACGGTTCTCCCGCGGACACCTCGCCCTCTGCTCCGCGGGAAGACGCGGGGCCCGGCCCTTCTGGGCCTGGAGCAGCCGTGTCCCCGCGGGAGAAGGTCACCTGTCCTCCGGGCCACCGGCCCGCACCCCGCACCGCTGCAGCACCGCCAGCGGCCTCGCCTGCAGAATAAAACCGATCCAGAGCAGCCTCGTGTGCCGACCTTCCGTAGCGCCGCCGCCGGAGGGGCAGCGGGGATGAGGGGCTAACGGGGACCGGGTACCAGCGGGGACCGGGAACCAACGGGGACCGGGAACCAACGGGAACCGGGGTACCCACTGCGCTGCCACCCCTCGCGGCCCCGGACACGACCCAGGAGCCTGAGCCCATGGACGGCCGTGCCCGCACATCGCCCGCCGAGCACCGGGCAGGGAGAGAGGAGGCACCGGCCTCGGTTCCCGTCCCGAGGGCAGCTGTGCCCCGGGCCCGAGGAGTGTCCCCGCACAGTTCCCTTCGAGGGAAGGGTTCCAACCTGCCCCAGCAGCGCTCGGGGCCGCCGTGCCTGGCTCCCGGTCCCCAGTTCCCGGGCCGAGCGTATGGAGACCGGGCTTGTCTCGTGGATTCTTCCCGGGATCTGCCCCGGGGATCCGTCCCCGTCCAGCCCGGGGAAACCGTCCCGTCGGGCCATCCCCGCCCCCCACCCGCCCCGCATCGCGGCCCCGCTCGCTCTTCCCCTTTCATCTCTGCCCATCTCCACTCATCATCCCTTTTCTATTTTTAGCCGGTAGACTTAGGCCTTGGCGCCAGGCCGTTTAAGACCTGTCAAAGTCCTTCATATTTCCCTCATGTCACATGGACCTTTCTCTCTCTTCCCCGCGCCATGCGAGGGCCGTAATTTGGATCTGTGAGCTGGTGAGCAAATGCAATTTGCTCTTCTCCATCGCTGTGTTGTCTCCGTGACCCCAGCCAGCAGGACGGCTGGTGTCCTGTCCGGGGCACTTACACAAATTGCGGGTGATTGATGAAAAATAACAATTCTCACAAGCAGCCGGGCCTCCGCCTTCCCCTCCTCCCGGCTCCACCGGGCTGCGGCGGCCCCGCGCCCCGGGGAGCGCTGTCCCCGACGGGGTGCACCAGGCGAAAGGGGTTTTCTTGTGCCCAGGGCGACCCCCCACCCCCGGCAGCGATGCCACGGCAAGAGGAGACCCCAGGGCCCTTGGGGAGGGCGGCCCGGCTGCTCGCACCTTCCCAAATTGGGGGAGTCGAGGCGGGGTGGACACAGGCCGTGGCGTGGGGGGGCGGACACGGTGCCACAGGGCTGGGCTCCTCTGTCGGACACGGTGCCACAGGGCTGGGCTCCACTGTCGGACGCGGTGCCACAGGGGTGGGCTCCTCTGTCGGACACGGTGCCACAGGGCTGGGCTCCTCTGTCGGACACGGTGCCACAGGGCTGGGCTCCTCTGTCCTTCTCCGGGACGTCAGCGACTCCCCGAGCGGAGCCGCAGGTGCGGGCTGGGGGAGCTCCCTCCGTCCCGAAGGAACCCGGGTCCTCCAAGCCCCGGGGCGCGTTTCCCGGCCCGACCTGGCCCTGCAGCCCCAGCTGGGCCGTGGGGTAGGCGGGGATGAGGAGAGGGGCGGCCCCGCAGCTTCGTCGGCCCCTGTTCTCCGCTCCACCTAGAGAGGAAAAGAGCCCCAGGTGTGATGGAACTGTCCTCGTTTGATCTCGCCCACCCGCGCCCAGGATACCCCTCCTCCGCTTTCCTTTTCCGGGGCGCCCTTCGCACCCCTCGGCGGGGTGGGAATCCCTTTATCCCGGGAGATCCCGGGAAAACGATTCCTCTCCCCCGCCGTGCTCCGGTGCCCGCTGGAGGGGACGGGGAGGGGCCGCCGGGCACCGGGGCCCGGCTGACGCCCTTTTATCGACAGCTGCCGAGAGAGATGCTCGATCTGACACCAGCCTCGGCACCACCACCCTCCTCTTCCCCCCGCTGCGCGGCTGCGGAGCTGCGCGCCCTTCGGGGCGCAGGGAACCCCGCGGAGCCCCGCCAGCACGGCAGCCCCCGGGCCGCCCCCCCTCCCCCGAGATCCCCCTGCCCTCAGACTGTTTAGATTTCTCTCCAGCTTTAAAGAAAATATTTCCAGTAATCCAGATTTCTGGAAAATAACAACATGCGGGGAGACGCAGACACAAACGCCGCTGAAGTTTATCCAGAGTTTGAACAATTTATAAACACTTTTCCCAGCCTGTTTGGCAGGGCGGGCGGCGAGTGACCCCGGCCCGGCCGGGAGGAGACACACGCATCCTCCATCCTCCCGTTACACCGCGCCGCTTTGAGCTGTGAAGCTGCACTTAATTGAATTTTACATTATTATAATTTTTTTTTTTTTTGGTTGAGTTACGGAGCGCTCTCCCTGCGCGGGGGCGGAGTGACCCCTCCAGCCCCGCGCCCCCGGGGCTCCCCACGTCGGGGCGCGGCGCCGAGCCCGCACCGAGCCCGCTGCCTTAAAAGGAGACGGGAGCCCCGGTCCGGGCCGTGGCAGAGCGAGGGGACCCGCCTGGAACCCGGGCTGGCACCGAGGATGGGGATGGGAACGGGTGCGGGGATGGGGATGGAGGGGCGCGGTGGGGGATCATGCAAATCCCTCTGTTTAAAAAACTTCCATTTGAGAAAGTGTGTCACATCCCGGCGCGGGAGCCTAATCCCGGGCTAATGCCATTATCGCCGCCTCATCGCTGTCATGGGATGGGGCCGGGGGCGAGCAACCCCCACCGCCCGCCGCCACGCGTGACCGCGGCTCGGTTCTGCGGGGAAACGGAGCCGCAGATCCGCTCCTTGTCGGGAGCCCGGGATCGGTGTCGCTGCCCCTCCCGGGTCCCCCGGGCGCTCTATCGGCGCCTATCGATAATCGCGGTCCCGCTGTCCCCTGACGCTCTATCGGCGCCTATCGATAATCGCGGTCCCGCTGTCCCCTGATGCTCTGTCGGCGCCTATCGATAATCGCGGTCCCGCTGTCCCCTGATGCTCTATCGGTGCCTATCGATAATCGCGGTCCCGCTGTCCCCTGATGCTCTATCGGCGCCTATCGATAATCGCGGTCCCGCTGTCCCCTGATGCTCTATCGGCGCCTATCGATAATCGCGGTCCCGCTGTCCGCCCGCTCTCCCCGAGCGAAGCCGGTCCCTGGAAGGGCGAGCCGGCGCTCGTCTCTTTAACAGCTCCAGCAAACGGTGTTGTCTGATCAAACGGTGCTGGTGGGGTCCCCTCTCTGCTCCCTCTCTGGATTAACAGCGAGGATTTGGGGTCGTTCTGCTGGAGCGGCCGGGACGAGGCTGCCCGACTCCCGCAGCCTGAGGCGTCCTGGCGAGCAGGGGAAAAGGGACAGAATCGGTTCTGGGAGCAGAGAAAAAAATCACTGGGGGTTCCACGCACAGTGCAACCTCCTCAGTCACCCAAAAAAATCCCCTTCTGGACAGGAACTCTGCTTGTACCTGAGCAACAAAATCCTCGAGGATCGAGGACAGGAGACATCCCGTTTTCTCTCCCTTCTTAGTTTTATTTTCAAGCTGTTCCTGGTGGGTGCAGTCCCCTCCCATTGCCTCTGGAATGGGGAAGGTGCAGGGCAGCCCCCAGCCCCACGAGGGTCACTCAGCCCCCCTGGTCCCCAGTCCCCCTTGCATCCCCAGAATCCCTTTTCTCCCTCTTTGGGGCTAAGAGCTTGGCAGAAGTTACAGGATCAAAGGAAGGATGAGTGAGCCGGCCCTGTGTGGGCAGAGCCGACGGGGTCTCACATCTTGGCCTGTTTGCTTCAGACGGGATCTGGGAACTTGTCTGGAATCACATCTGAAGCAGGATCTGACGCCGCTGGTCCCACGTCACGTGAGTTGTGGTTTTGGTCTAGGTTTGACTTTTAGAATTGCAGAAAATCACTGTCTCGTGTTCATAGGAGAGAACATTTCACTGGCGAGAGAATAAAACCAGACAGAATAAATCACGAGCTGGTCCTGGGCAGGAGTGACACTTTTCATTGCATCTGTCCCTTTCCTGGGTGTTTCACCACGGACAAATTTGATGTACACTGGCACTGCGTGGAAGGGCAAACTCTCATAACCTCGATTTACATTTCCTCCAAAACCCAGTGCTCCTCCAAGCCAGAGGCAGAGAGGTGGAACATGCCCCTGCAGGCAGCACAGGCTCTTCCCATCTTTCAGTTCTTAAAACCAGTCTAGAAACTCAAACTGCTCTGGGGCAAGGCCACATCTCAGCCCTGCATCCAGCCCCATTCCCGGGCACCTCCGCATTGCGCTTCATTTTCCCATTGCCCAGATTTTTCCTCACGTCTCTGTAGGTGCTGGGCTCTTGCACTGACCATCCTGGGGAATTTGGGGATTTGGGCACGGGCAGACATGCTGAAACCCTCAAGCCCCCCTTTTCCAGCCTCCCAGCTCCTCGCCCACGCGAGCTCAGCGGTGCTGGCAGATTGTTCTCCAGGGCGTGTTTTCCATGGATACCTCAACGGAGGCAGCACCAAATAACAAGTAAATAACAGCCCGACGCCGGCCTGCCGGCACAAAGCAAGCAATTGCCCTTCCCGCAGGTCACTAATCTCTTGACACACGGTCTTTGAGACCTGGGCCACGGGGAGGGAGGCTGAAAGGGAAGAAAAGATAGTGGGGACAATGGCGGGGCCGCCGGCTGGCTAATAACCTTTGTCCCAGCTTTGTGTGGGACACTCAAAGTGGCGCTGGGACCAATTCATCCCCGCAGACAAAACCACGCTCCTGCCTCCGCCGCGGTGCCCGGGACGGTCCCGACTCACCGGGCGCAAAGCTGGAGCTGCTGCAGGTATTAATAGTCCCCTTTTTGTATCCCCCCCCGTGTTTTCCCCTCCACGCTGAAAACAAACCCTTCACTCGATCCGTTTGTCCTCTCCAGTTGCCATCTGTCTTGCATCCTTCAAATCTCACCTTAAAAACAGTGCCTCTTGAGCAAATCCTCCCCGGCAGCCCCGCGTGCCGCCTCGCCCGCCGCGGGCCTGACACTACAAGCGCTCATTGAAGTGAAGGGGATTTGAGAGCGAGCAGGACACGCCGGGATTAAGGCCACAGATTGTGCTCCCCGGGCTGCAGCTCCGCCCGCCCGCGGCTCTGCTCCCTCCCCTTGGCATCAGCAAGGTGGCCCGTGGGCGGGCAGCCCCATCCCCCTGCCC